AGCCTAAAATATCATTTCCAGGTTCATCTCACAGGATGGGCTGACTGGATTTGGAGAATATGGCCCAAACCATGTAGGGCTTTATAAGTCAACACCTTGATTGAGTTCAGACGTTCATGGGGCATCTTGTCCAGTACCAGCAATATACAGGAGCAAAGCTGCTGAAACAGCCCTTACTTGTCAGTATGCAGACTATCACATTCTGCACCATCTGAAGTTTCCAGATGGACATCAAAGACAGCCCTAACATATTGCAGTAACCCAGCCTCAAAGTAACAAGAGCACGAATGATGGGCACCATAACTTCCCTCTACAGAAAGGGCTGCAATTTAATTATAGATATATTTATCTCCCTGCTTTAAGGCAGACAACTCCAGGTTCTTTTAATACAACATGAAAATGAACATTTTTTTTCAGGCGCATGAGTCGATACTCCTGTTCTTCAATATCTTGTATACTTAATCACTTGCTATAATGATAGTAAAATGAAAATATTTTAATACATAAAGATGTGTGTTGTATAAAGTAAATATTGTCTGTGTCAAGCATAATTTCTTTTAATCCTGATTCTTTTAAGAAGTAGATTCAGCTGATTACCAAACTTCTTCTTGGGCTATCTATTCTTTAGGGTCTTTGAAAAGCATTTTTCACTTGCAAATTAATGGATAATTTGAATAAGCAGCTTCACTATCCACTTAACAACAAAATTTGTTTCTCTGAAGTTTTTATCGAGCTTGCATATATAAAATGCTATAGAGTTTGCCCTCAGAAAAGCTCTGTGATTTATATTAGGGCAATATCTTTATTGGGATATTTTTGTTGAGATATATACTTTGCTGAGAGCCAATTGGGTGTAGTGATTAAGGTATCAAGCTAGAAACCTGTGACTGTGAGTTCTAGTTCTGCCTTAGGAACAAAGCCGACTGGGTGATCCTGAGCCAATCACTTAGAAAGAGTGCAAAGAAGAGCAACAAAGGTGATCAGGGCACTGGAAGCTATAAAACATGAAGAACGGTTGCAGGAATCCAGTTTAATGACGAGAAGGACTAGGAGTGACATGATAGCAGTGTTCCAATATCTCAGGGGTTGCCACAAAGAAGAGGGGGTCAACTTATTCTCCAAAGCACCCTGAAGACAAAACAAGAAGCAAGGGATGGAAACTAATCAAGAAAAGAAGCAACCTAGAACTAAGGAGAAATTTCCTGACAATTAAAACAATCAATGGAATGACTTGTCTGCAGAAGTTGTGGGTGTGCCAGCACTGGAGGTTTTTAAGAAGAGATTGGACAACCATTTGTCTGAAAGGGTATAGGGTTTCCTGCTCGAGCAGGGGGTTGGATTAGAAGGACTTTCAAGGTCCCTTCCAATTCTGTTATGCTATTACCTGCTGGTGTGACTTACTTTGTCTCAGCCATAAGAAGGAGGCAGTGACAAACCACTTCTAAAAAACCTTGCCAAGAAAACTGCAGGAACTTGTTCAGGCAGTCTCCAAGAATCGGACATAATTGAACAGAAGTAAAAATTCTTTGTTAGAGCAATTTAAAGATTCTAGGATTATAAGAAATAATTACTTTTAAAAATAGAGATTTAAATAAAAGTACATTACGGTTACACTCCACAATCCTTTGCGCATAGGCAACTGAAAGTAGCTGCCCTCACACTTTCAGAAAGCAACACCTTTGCTTTCTAAGTAGACTAAGCCTGGTAACACATATACTGTAGGATGATTCTCGGCACATCCCTTTTGGCAAGCGAGGACAAAACTTAAGTCACTTTCTTGAACAGAATCAAAAGTTTTCCCAGCTTTACTATTTCTGAAAGAGATTGGGGGAGATCAAAGATTACTAGAAAAGGAAGAATGGAGGGGAGAGAAGTCCTGAACTGAGGTCCCAGAGACCTCCAGAAGTGAACAGAGATAAGCCCAGCACTGAAAAGCACAAGAGAATTCTCCAGATCTTTGGAAAAATAAACCACCTTGATTCATGATAAATAGAGCTAAGTTAGTTCATCTAAAGAATATAGCTGATAGAGCAGCGGTTCTCAACCTATGGGTCGGGACCCCATTTGGGGTCGATCGACCATTTCACGGGGGTCGCCAAGCAAGGTTGTCCGCCATTTTTTTCCCCTTTTCCGGCGGGTGCCTTACCTCCCTTGAGCTGGGCCAGCTGGTGGTCGGCCTGCTCCGTCTCTGCCGCTTGCCAGCTACACTTCAGCCGGCGCAGGGGGCGGAACCATGCATGCTCAGCGCTCCCGGGCAGGGAAAGTCCTCGACTTACGACCGGTTGGGTAGTCCTCGACTTACGACCGGTTTAGTCCTCGACTTACGACCGGTTTAGTCCTCGACTTATGACTGGTTGGGGTCGCGGCATTAAAAAGGTTGAGAACCACTGTGATAGAGGGAACTCATAATTAAGACCAAGAAGCCCCAGTGGTGCAGTGGTTAGAATGCAGTATTGCACGCTAACTCTGTCCACAGCCTGGAATTCAATCCTGACCAGTTCAAGGTTTACTCAGCCTTCCATCCTTCCGAGGTCGGTAAAATGAGGGTCCAGATTGGCTGTAATATACAAAACATTGTAAACCGCCCAGAAAGTGCTGTAAAGCACTATGGGGCAGTATATAAGTCTAAGTATTAGTGCTAGTGTTGTTGACGTAGATAAAGGAATTAGGATGAATTGCTCCTAAGCTTCTGATTAAAAATTGGAAATCAATGAGAAGTATTCAATAAACACAATAAACATCCAAGAGTGAGATGGATTAATAAATTAGGATGCACTGTCTGGAGTTTGTGCTTTATTTTCTAGGGTTGCACCTGCTTATTTCTAGTAATTGTATCTAATAACTTTGGTGTATGATATCTAATGCATTTTGTGCAAACCCATTTTTTGTAATTGTGTTCCATCTTAGTCTCTTTGAGTCATAAATCTGTTCATTTTAGATTACTCTCTCCCGCAGCATTTTATTTGGGACATTTAAGCCACTGTTTGTGATATTATCAGTACTACATGTCATATTGCATCTGCTTATAATTATTTGGGGCATTTGACTACCTAATGTTAGAAATGTCCTATTCAAAACTGAGCAAACACATCAGGATTAGTTATAAACTGTTAACTGAGGAGGAGTATTTCAGCCAACTAAACAAGCAGGCAGAGAGCCAGCAATGCAGATGCGCATCTGTTTTGGGAAAGATGGAGAATAAGGTCTTACCTGATGGGCAGGCACAGTACAGAAGCTACAGTGTTCATCCAGAGTCCAGCATAGCACAGGTTCAAGGAAATAGACAATGACAGAGAGGCAACAAAGATTCATAGTTACTGGTAAAGCATCATGAAATCTGTTGCTTAGACCATACACTGCCCAATAGATACTGGGCACAAAATTCTGAGTCAATGTAAGTAAACAAAGCTTACATTACTCATCTTTATGAAGCGGTATTTTTGTTTCCCCAATGTACTGATCTGCACATGTCCCACTGGGGGAAACAAAATAACCATTTCATAAACGCATGGCACAACATAGGAGAACAAATGCATCAGGACAAGATTCAGCAGTCCATCTGCATTTAAAAGACAAAGGCCACTCTTTTAGAAGGCAGCAAAATCCACATTTTGGACAGAGAGGACCACTGAGTTGAAAGAGGGGTCAAAGAGGCCATCTATGTCAAAACTGCACAGCCCTCTCTCAAAAGAGGGGGAGAGATACGACATCATCCATCTCCAGTCTACAACACAGTCCTTTCAGCAGTTCCAAGAAGGCTCTGTACCCATTTGCACTACTCAGGTGACTCTGTGAACACGGATAAACCTCCAAGTGGCCTCAACAACTCTCTAAAAGAATGCAAATGACCAGCTGTCTGCAAGAAATATAAATCCTTCCATTCCCCACCATCCAGTCAGAGCTGAAGAAGCTTCTTGGATGAGAAGCAAAACATCTTCAAAGAAAAGCAAGAAAGTCCAGTTGCCTCTTGGAAAAAAAAACACTTTTGGGACAACCTGAATTAATCTGAATGACCGAGCTGAGTTTTTTGGAGTTGCTCCATGATGTCATTTTTCTTTCTTCTCTGCCTGCCCCTCTCCCCTGGCCTTTCAGAAACACCTAAAGACCTGGCTCTGCCAACTTCTTGCGGCCCACAGAGGAGCACACAGCCATGGGACTGGTTAGCACCCTGAAGCCCCTTTCCCAACTTTTTAATTTTAATTGTTTTATTATTGTTTTAACTGACTTCTATTATATTTATATATAGCTTTTTTATGTTTACTTGTATGCCATCCAGAGTCACTCTACAAGGGAGATGGGTAGTTTATAAATGTGATATATGAATACTATACACCAGGCCACACCACACCATACCATAATTGTAATACGAGTGTATGTTTATGCTATGTTTTGTAGTGTATAATTCGATGCAAATAAGTGCAAATGAAAAAGCACATTCTGAAGTCACCTATTTCTTGCCCAAATGGCATAGCGTGCTTTGCCTGGCATTGGCTATTATTCCTTCCAATGCAAGGGCAAAAAAAAAAACATTCAATACCTCCTGTGCAAGATCATTTTCATAGTATAGTGATACATAGTATAGTGTGGTATTGTGTGGTATTGTGTGTCACATGACTTCTGCACTGCAAACACCTTTATTGCTTGATTTAACACTTGGCATAAAGGTAGACACAGAGTAAAATGTTTTTAAAATGTTTGTATGCAATGTGCTCATTTTTGTGACTAGAATATAACAGATTTCTAAGAAGCATGGCATTGGCCTTGAGGCTTAGCCCATACATACTTGGTTGTACATACGAAAACAAAATCTGAGTTAATAAAGTTCAGTAAAGTCCCTTGGTATTATTCTATTGCTTAAGCATTCTCAAATATTTTCCTTTAAATTATAAATTTAAAGCTGAGATCCACATATGATGCAGTTTCAGGCTTGCTGCTTTGAAAATAAAAGGGTGCAGAATATACATCATTGAGTCTAACCTCTTTCATTTGCTTTTTCTCAGGGGATGAGCGTTCCCATGATTGCACAACACCAGCAGAAGCTCAGACACAAGTTGGGATGGAAGCTGGTGGAAGAAGGAGCCCATGTTGCCAAACATGCTCTGTGATCCAGCTTAAGAAAATCTTCTGGGGAGTAGTGGTGGTACTTGGTGTCTGCTCTTCCTGGTCAGGTTCAACCCAGCTAGCAAAACTGACCTTTAAGAAATTTGATGCACCCTTCACTTTGACGTGGTTTGCAACAAACTGGAACTTTTTATTCTTTCCTTTGTATTACATTGGACATGTTTGTAAGTCAGCTGAAAAACAATCTCCCCAACAAAGATACGGGTAAGAGAGAGTTGTCATATTTTGCTGTGTTGTCATTTATTCTCTTCTTAGATGTTTCATTAAGCTATTTGGTTAAAAAAAAAGACTGTAAATTATTGGCCCAAATATTGAAGGGAATAGAAGGAAGATAAGGACATTGTAGAGAAGGCAGAATTTATCTTACACATTTCTATTAAAAATAAATGAAATCTCTCTAAATGAACATCTATACGCTCTCTTATGCTTTTTGTTGCTGTTATTCATTTTTAATTGAGCTAATTAAAATAATAAATAATTTAACTGTCTTTTTCTTTATAGCAAAAGATAAGATATAAGATAAAATATCTTTCCTCTAATTGTCATAAATATCAGAAGTCACATGTATTTACTTTACCTAATGCCCATTTAGAGATAGTCATTTAATTTTAGTAGAAACATGTTATTTAATTCACAATGGTGGGTGCCCTGCTATAATTTTCCTCTTGAAGACCTGTTTTAAGACCTTTCCCTTTTTACATACCTTTCTGTTTAAGCTAAACCTAGATTATGTGCAGTTTAGATAGATGATATACTCTTTATAGTACATCTATAGAGTTGATATACTCTATAAAATGAAAATGTGGCAACAAGAATGTGTTTTTATTGGTGCTACTACATATTTCTATCTATAAATTGGGGACGTCTAGATAATTTACAAGGTGCTTGGAAGGCTGTTCACCTCCATTGGCAGATGTTTTATACCGAATTAAAGTGAGCAAGGTCAAATGCAGAACTTGAAGAGAAAGGCAGTGGTGGTGGAATTAGCCATTATATGGCATATAATATACACATGACAAAGGAGAGAAACCCCTTCCACAATATGACAAGATTCAATTTTCAAATTAATATGAACCCTCTATGGTAAGGCTTATCATAAAGACACATGAAACATGACTACGCTAAAGAGCTCGTAGCATCTTGGGTTGATCAGAAAGAAGCAGTAGATGAGTACTTGTTTCTGGGCTCAATCTAAACATTGGACACTTATATTTAGGAGCATTCCTTCCCTCGAAGTTGTTTATATATTTTATTCTCATCACATCCATTGAGAAATATTGCTCTGGACAACAATGTTTTATTTGAAGAATTGTGGAATTGATTCTTATAGGATTTGTATTGGAGTCCTATTAAGGTGGGTAAATTTTACAAAACAGGAGATTGGAGCTAAAAACCAGTCATTCTGCTGTATCTTTTCTTGCTGTATCTTCATTCCAAGCTTTTTAGTTTTAGGGGTTAATGCAGGCGTTCTCAGACTGTGGGTCATGGCTAGCCAGAAGTTATCATCAACTTAGATGGACGTCAAAGGTTTCTTCTAAACCTGATCAGACTTTTGCAGGCAAAATAGGAGTGCTCTCAAAATATCAACATTTTGAAAGTTTTGAAACCATAATCTCTTATTCAGTTGCTTTTTGTCTAATAATTCAAGCCACTACAGAAGAAACAGCTCCCAAGACAATGAAGTAAAATATTTAAAAGATATGTGAATTTGAATTAATGTGTCTGAAAGGATGGGTTTTTACATAGCACCAAGGAAAAATACCTTGCAGCATTCAAATCCAAAAATGTACATATAATACAGTTCAACTTTTGCCTAAACATATAGCACCAAGCTATTTATGGTCATTCAACTGTTATGGGTGGCTTCTACATGCATAATGGCTCTTCCCAAGAGTTGCAAGGAGGGTGCAAAAGGTTGTGGACCGAGGGTTTTGAAAGCCTTCCTGGCTTTCAGATCAGATCTTGTATATCCATCCACAAGCATTCTTTTACAACTGGGACCAGTTTCTTCCTTTCCTTGTCTTTATTAGTACAAACTCTCAAAATAGACAGATACAAAAATGCTTTAAGGTTCATATACTTGCCTTGACTCTCTCTCTTCCACTTTAGAATACACCAATGGTTCTTTCCCCTCTTTGGGTATAGAAAGAATTAAAGAACTATAAGAACTAACTTTGTATCTGCCAATGTAAGGCTTGTTTATTGCCACAAACTATTCATTTCAATTATTTCTTAATGAAATTTGCTCTGTCAAATTGTGTGTCTGTGGGCATATATTTGTTACTGAATGGGACAAGATGGTCTTCCCTAGAATTTTCTGAATTGCTTTTGGTGTTTTTACCCTAAAACAAATGAAGCACTCAGATGAATGCTTTTTTTAAAAAAAATCTTTGATTATATTTGTAGATTTTTTTAAAAAAATAAGACAATTTCATGATCTTCTTAAATCTTCTCTAAGCTCAAAGATGTTGGCTTTTACTTTTGAGTTAATACATGCCATGCAAAGGTTCAGTAAAAACAACAAGATTTGAAATGCATGTCATTGTTTGTTCTTGATTATGTTTTCTTTGGACTCTGATCTTTTTGTTGGTCCAGGCAAGTGAAGAAAGAGGATTAAGTAGTGTGTGTGTACATATGTGAAGGGATGAAGGTTTGGAAGGACACTGTCACATGCTTTCCCTTTTCTTAGGGAGTAATCAGAAATTTAATTGTTCGAAACTAGTTCTGGTACCAGAAATGCTTATAGTTAAAAATATAAGTTTCTTTTAAAATTGACTGATTTATTAGATTTATAACTTGCTTTTAGGTTTAGATTTAGGCCTTAGATTTTAGTTATAAAGCTGCATTAGAATTAGATTTATAATCTGATTCAGGAGCTCAAGGGAGTATGTATGTAGCATTCTCTCCTCCTATTTTACTCTGCAAAGACACCCTGTTTAATAGGTTGGTCTGAGAGAGAGCAATTGTTCCAAAGTAAGCCAATCCATTTTTATTTATTATTAATTCATTCAATTTCTATAGCTATCCAACTCAACCAATTGACTCTGGGTGGTTTACAATTCTAAAATTCTAAAACAATTAAAACAGTAAAAACATCCAGAAAAGTTTCCATGACTGAGGGCACGCTAGAGGTTTCATACAGTCTTTGATCTGATCCATTGCTGGTTGACAATGCAGCTGATACAGAATAGGTCCATCTTTAAGATGCTACAGATTCTTGATGTATTTCCTCAGGATCTACTATTCTTTTCTTCTTTTAGGGAGTGTTGTCGGTTTTTTGGAGACAACGGCTTGACACTGAAGGCATTTTTTACCAAAGCAGCACCTTTTGGTGTTCTTTGGACACTCACGAACTACCTGTATTTACATGCAATAAAAAAAATAAACACTACGGATGTTTCCGTACTGTTCTGCTGCAACAAAGCTTTTGTGTTCTTGCTTTCGTGGATTGTTCTCAGGGACAGATTCATGGGAGTGAGGGTAAGTGGTTCATAAACTCTTTTTTCTACCATCACCAGCACTGGTACTGGTACAGATCGTTTGTTTAAACATTTATAGCAGTATAAAGTATTTAATTTTATGCATTAAAAACTGATTTCATGTTATAAAGTTGTTCTTAAAATGATTGCTATATTATCATTGTATCTTAGCCTTGGCTTTCTTTAAAAGTTAGTTAATTTTTCATGACTTGAAACATGTATCTTTTTCTTAAATAATTTTAATCTCTCAGTTTTCATAGAGTGACATCTCTTAGAACCAAAATTTAAGGTTTCTATTTTGTTGACTTGGTTGTTGAAGTTATTGATTTTAATTCCATATTTCTTCTATTACGGAGATTTTTCTTCTACTAGTTCTAAAACTTAACTTTTACTGGCAGTCAGCTTTCACCAACTAAAATGGTCTAGATAGATAGATAGATAGATAGATAGATAGATAGATAGATAGGTAGGTAGGTAGGTAGGTAGGTAGGTAGGTAGGTAGGTAGGTAGATGAAAGAGAGACGGAGATGGAAATGGAGAGGAATAGAGATAAAGACAGAGAAAGTTGGATGCATCACATCTATGGGCAGTGTACAAACAATAGAATACATCTGGAAATACAAAACCTCTGGAAAAATCAATTGTAACGAATCAATCAACCCCACTTAACCCAAAGCCTGGAGGAAGAGCCAGGTGAATGAATGAATGAATGAATGAATAAATAAATAAATAAATAAGGAAGGAAGGAAGGAAGGAAGGAAGGAAGGTAGGTCAGGTTGGGGGTCTTATGAATTTCAGTCCTGATAATGATCTGACATATTAAAACGGTTTGTCTACAAAAGGCTTAGTGTAATGATGAATATTAATTACATTCAGAGAACATGTTGAATCTGTAGCTTTCAGGTAGGTAGGTAGGTAGATAGGTAGATAGGTAGATAGGTAGGTAGGTAAGTAGGTAGGTAGATAGATAGATAGATAGATAGATAGATAGATAGATAGATAGATAGATAGATAGATAGATAGATAGATAGATAGATAGATAGATAGATAGATAGATAGATAGATAGATAGATAGGCAGGCAGGCAGGCAGGCAGGCAGGCAGGCAGGCAGGCAGGCAGGCAGACAACCTTATTGCCATTTTTTACTGTGGGCACAAAGGCACACATTAAAAATGAAATTTAGTTGCTTGCTCTCAAAGTGTACACATACATAACACACATTTAAACATACTATATACAACATATGTATAGACCTACACCCTTACTTATAAGTAACATAAATATTAATCACTGTCCATCTTGAATACATAACTGAAGGAGGAAGCTTTAGAGTTCACAAGGTTAATACTGTATGGAACAAAACTGTGACTCAATCTGAATGTTCTGCTTCAGATACCACGAAGCCTCCTCCCAGAAGGTAACAAGGAAAACAGGTCGTGAAGAGGATGTGTAGTGTCCCAATGAAACTGAATAATATAAATATGAAATATTATTGTTCCCTTGATTCTGCTGATTTCTTATCTTCTGGATGAATGCAAACAGCTTTTGAACTTTAAAGTTCTTCAGAGTTTTAAATAACAGTAGCAAAAAGACCCTCTCTCTTTATAAGTAGAAATATATGTAGAAATATCTATCAAGATCCCAAGATCCTAATCAGAGGGCCTCCCCCCAAGAGGCACTTTTTAGCCCTCTACCCTTTCTATTTTTTTTAATCACATCTCTTAAATTAGCCTGTTAAATTGGTTTGACTGTTCATTAGTTTTCTTTTCAAGAAATTTGTTAACATCGTATTTTTACTCCTAACACCTTGTTTGAGCTTAAACTGTGAGTCGGCCTAAGAACTTACTATTATTAAAAAAGGCTATCAGTGTTGAAAATAATTAAATAATAATGTCATTCACTATGATCATGAGGCCTCCAGCTAATTAACCAAATGTCATGAACTGTCCTTTCCTTTAATTTTTATGCCTTTTCATGGCTGATTTCCAATTTTTTTTCTCCATTTTTTAAAAAAACTGGATTGACAAAATTACAGAAAAAGCATTGTGACATTACAACTTAAGCCAGTGGTTCTCAACCTGTGGGTCGGGACCCCATTTGGGGTCGATCGACCATTTCACGGGGGTCGCCAAGCAAGGCTGTCCGCCACTTTTTTTGTCCGCCATTTTTTTGTCTGCCATTTTTTTTCCCTTTTCCGGCGGGTGCCTTACCTCCCTTGGGCTGGGCCAGCTGGTGGTCGGCCTGCTCCGTCTCTGCCGCTTGCCAGCTACGCCTCGGCCGGTGCAGGGGGCGGAACCACGCATGTGCGGCGCTCCCGGGCAGGGAAAATCCTCGACTTACGACCGGTTGGGTAGTCCTCGACCTACGACCGGTTTAGTCCTCGACTTACAACCGGTTGGGGTCACAGCATTAAAAAGGTTGAGAACCACTGACTTAAGCTATGACGTTTTATATTTGTCTTGCTATGTTGCATGCAAGTACATAACAGCAGAGTCACATTACGGTATTGCATTGCACATTTTCACATTTGTCTCCTTTGTCTTCTATGCTAGGGTGTATGAATGTAAAAAAAAAATTCTTTCAGTTGAAGGGCACATTGCCGTTCTGAGAGCTACAATTCTTTATCTGCCAAGTTACAGCAATAGCAAAAGGAACCTCCTTCAAATGAGGCAAGCAAAGCAAGCAAAGCGATAAGGAGAACATTCAGACCTTAATGTCTCACTAACTATTTAAAATATTTACCAACATCTGTACAAATAAATCTATACAAATATTTTTTGTAATAAAGAACAAAGTGAGTTCACATTTACTTTGATCTTTTTGATTTAATGTTACTTAATTTGTAAGGTCAGGAAATATAAGGATTTTTCCCACTAGGTACTACTTACGTCAGGGAGTTCAAAGTGTTACAAAAGTTGCCGCTTTTTTGTGGTGTGGGAAGTCACCCCCTCCAGAGAAGGAAATATTAAAAGGGCAGAAAAAATATATTTCCTCAGGATCTTGAAGAGGCAGGAACGCATGCCCAGTTTTCTTAATAGCCCCAAGTCTGCCTCCCCCAAGCAGAAACCAGCTCTATAGAAATGCAGATGCAGACCATTCAGGAAAGTTGGAGCTAGAAGATTAAGAAGACAAAGACCTAAAATCTGCATACCTCACCCAAACTTTAAGAGTCATTAGCCCAGCCCCAGGGAAACATAATAGGATTAAATCACAGATACCAAGGTCCAGAAAAGCACACTCAGACTCAGTTCAAAGTTCATGCCACAGGAACAGGAAACAAATCAAAACAAAAGGCTTCAAAGGGTATAAAAAACCCACTCCCTACATGTGTTCCCTCTCTTTTCTGCCAGAGCCAGACAGGAAGATGGTGATCGATACTGTGATCAATACTGCACAAGGAGACTGCAAGATAGAGATTTTTCTACGGGTTTGGATGTTGAGAGACAATGGAATTAGCCAACTTGCTTGCAAACACAGCAGAGAAGTTTCAAGGACACAAGTTCACAAAGCCTCACTTTCTAATGGCTTTTGAAAATTGCTCATTAACTATTTCTAAGCTATCAGACGCCTTCAGAATTACAGGCTTGAAAATGCTGAGTAAATCTGCCTTTAATACTGAATAAAAGAAATTTTAATCATAAGCTAAATAATTTAAAGAATCTGAAATAAACAGCTAAAAGTTAAATAAGAATTTGATTCTAGAAAATTTTAAAGGACAAAATTGGAATATTGAAACTTTTACAGTTAAGATTTTGGAATTAATTATAAAGAACAAACAACTTCTCATGGGAAATAGATTCTGTTTTCATTTTTACAAGACACAACAAAGCAATTGTTAGCAATTTCATGATTTTAAAAATTGAACACTAGTGGAGAGGAAAAACTTTCAGAATGGTAAAATGTTGCAAAACATTATAACAATGAAAATACTGAAGGAGGCTTCTGAAAAATGGAGTCAGAAACTAGTAACAATATCAACAATATCAGTGATGTGTGCTTCTATAGATATCCAGAAACTGTTGTAGACAAAATGACAAATATAGAACAAATTTTATCTGACAAGATAGAGATAGTATTAGATTTACAAATGACAGGTTAAGAGAGATTATGTTTTGCTCATCTATAAAAGAAACTAGCTGAATTTTTAAAATTTAAAACAGAAATGCAAATGACAAAACAAGAGAGTTATCTGGATAATATTTTTCTATTGGATTTACAAAAGGGGCTTGTTAAGCCCTTGAAGAACTCAATATAATTGGACAAAGAAGAAATGACAAGAAATCAAATCCTACACTACTACTTGAATGAACTGAAGACTATATCTATCAGAAGTAAAAAGAAGGAATATAAAGTTGGCTTATTTGATCAAAGTTAAAACAGGATATATTGTTACTTCTGGCAGTTCTTTCTGTTAACAATCGGATTGAAAAGATGATGCTTTATCGATTTGTCTATAGATAAGGGATGTGATATGAGATGAAAAGATAAATGTTTGTAATCTAGGAGGAAACGAAGACTCACTACATTTCAGTGAAATCAGCATGTTCAATGTATTGTTCTGTCCTGTATTACTTTTTCTATAATCCTACTCCAGGTACCTTTTCTGAGGGTTCACTGCTTCAAACATATAGATCTGATAATATACACAACTGTTCACAAACTAATCTCTCAATGGTATGTTGGCATGTAACTATAAAATGGAAACCCTGGCTAATTTGGGTTTTCGTCTTTAGTAGCCTTTGGTTTAATCCAGTGGTGGCGAACCTATGGCACGCGTGCCAGAGGCGGCACTCCCTCTCTGTGGGCACATGCACTGTCATCCCAGCCCCGCCTACTCCCACGGCCCCCTCACTAGCAGCCCCCCCAGAGGAGAGTCACCCCCGGGTGCGGCCCACGCAAAGCAGTGGGACATGGTAGCTGGGCAGTGGGGACTCCTCCCTTGCGCCCCATTGCACGCAGATGATGCTGCGGGGCACGGGCAGAGGGCGTGGCCACCATGGCGCTGCTGGGCTGCCTGGCTGATCTGTGGCGGGCCATGGAGGTGGTGGGTGGCCCAGCAGGCAGGACGGAGCAGGGATGGGGGTGGGGGGCAGTTTTTGGGCACTCAGTCTCTAAAAGGTTTGCCATCACTGGTTTAATCTATAAAGTGCATAAGATGTACTAATTTAAGTTAAGCTTATGAAAAATGGTCTTACTGCTGCCTAAAGGAAAGAACACAGTTTAATGGTGCCTTCTGTATTACCAGGAGCTAGGGGGACTTTAGAGCCCATTAACATTTTGCTTCTGTGTATCCTAAACAGATTGTCGCTGCTATACTTGCTATTGCAGGGATAGTTATGATGACTTACGCAGATGGATTCCACAGTCATTCAGTTATTGGAATAGCACTTGTTGTGGGATCTGCGTCAACGTCGGCTCTTTACAAGGTAAGCATAGTAATAGGCTTAAGTTTCATTAGTCTACAGGTTTGACTGCATGACCAAATGTGTCCAAGTTCTGTTTTCAGTTCAGTTCATCCTCTAAAGAGTCATGTTTTCAGAGAGCTACTACAGAATTAAAGTTTTACACAGAGGTAGTTGAATCAAGTTGTTATACCTATGGAAACTAGTGTAGGCTTTCACAGCCGGTATCTGTTGGACAGTGTTGGGCTTCAGGGTGTACAGACTGTGTCCTAAACAACAGACTTCTTAATATTTCACCAGCAGTGTAGACTGGCTGGCTATATAGATTACCTTGCCTTTGAAGATGACAGCCATAGTTGTTGGCAAAACTTCAAGAAATCTGTTGTCTAATACCATGGTCACTAAGCCTTCAGGCTCAACACTACTCAACCTATGAAAACTGTTTAAAGAAAAATTGTTCACATTGTATGTAAAAAAACAACAGCAACTGTGTAAAGGAAGAGATCCTGGAGCTGCTGAGGGACCAGATTCTTCATCACTTCCAGTTCCAAAACTCAGAAAAGAACTTAGAAGTTGGTTAGGGAAATCTGCTTACAAGCTGCTGGTTTATAACACAATACATAATAATAGGATTAGAAAAATCCATTTCTGTTGCTAATATGAAGGAAAAGGAAAGTGAATGTATAAAAGAAGGATATTATCTTATCTACTGATTTTTACATCAAAATGGAAATGCTTTCACTTTGGGAGCAGGAAAAGGACAACAGATCATAAGGAATGGATAAGGAAGAGGCTTTTAATTTCTGTTCCCCATTCATCCACTATGACTAAAAGTTCAAAATTAATCCGAAATTATGTAGTGTTGGTATTATTTGTAAACATGTGTGAGTTGCACAACTATGCTTTTATACAAGAAGAATCATAGATTGGATGAAGTTTGACTAGGGGATGGAAGAAAGAACACAATTTCCTTCTACCAAGAGTATTCCGGCACCTCTTCTTGGGCTTCAGTCTCGGTATATAACTCTACCATTAACTCATGGACATTGATGTTCATAAGACATGCTTAGTTGGAAATTTTGCAGATTATTGTCTATGTCATTTGGACATGTTTTGCAGTCATGCTTTCATGAGTTTCTTTACCATAAGGAACAAAAATTGTGCACTGCCAACCTGTAACATTTCTTTTCAGGTGTGTGTGTGTGTGTGTGTGTGTGTGTGTGTGTGTGTGTGTGAAAGCTTCTATATCTTCAAACAATCTTTCCCATGTTTCCCAGAAGCTTGGATAAGAATTGTAGTATTTGTAAACCAACAATATTTGAAGAGATTAAGTTACAGAAGATGATTTAAAATAATAGCATCACAGCATCCACTATGACTAAAAGTTCAAAATTAATCCAAAATTATGGAGTGTTGGTATTATTTGTAAACATGTGTGAGTTGCACAACTATGCTTTTATACAAGAAGAAACATAGATTGGATGTTCCTTCCATAATGGGCTTGAAAGAGATTACATGAAAAAAAAAATGACTTAAGAATTTAACATAGACGTTTCTGTGGTTCCAAGAACTGTTTAATGAGAATTTAATTTCTTACCAGACACCACAATGGAAATGTCTGCCACCAACTGGTGATCTAAATATGTTTTCTGAAATCCTTTTCTTCAATTGAAAGGCAGGGTTTCTTTTCATTATTCTTTTCCATTGAAAAGATTTAAAAAGTAAGGTTAAAGAGGCTAAATCCTTCCCCCCTTTTTAAAAGGAGACAAAATACAAATTCAAAAGTCCGTATGAAATTATTTGGCCATACAAAGCTGGTTCTTGTAAGTGTGTGTATGTAAAAACAGAAGTCAGCTTTTACATTAATATTTCATAAATGAAACTTGTTATAGCTTTTTTTATATTCTGAAATACATCATCTGAGAAGTACATGGAAGCAGTAAATGGTTCCATGCAATAGCATTTTGTTAGCACATCAGTCTAACCCGGGGTAGGCAACCTTGGCTCTTTTATGACTCGTGGACTTCAACTCCCAGAATTTCTGAGCCAGCCATGCTGAGGGGAAAGAGAAAGTTTCCAAGCTGAGCCATGCTGGCTCAGGAATTCTGGGAGTTGAAGTCCACGAGTCATAAAAGAGCCAAGGTTGCCTATCCTTGGTCTAACCCAAAGTAAAAAAAAAATAAAAATGAACCTCTACTGTTCATTATAACAATTTGTAGCCATTTTGCTGACTATTCATAAGAGCTGGAAAGAAAACAGAAATAATAGGGAGTGATCAAAGGATGCCATCAGAATAGGAATCATTTCATGAAGAACTGTGCAAGCATTAATTTTTGTATGATACGTGCATGTCTGAATGGGAGTATGAATGGACTGAAGTAGCATACAGTAAATCAAAATAATATTTGCCACCTGGGCCTATCACTAGCAATGGGGTGTACAGCTAAATATTGGTAAAATTTGTTCAATGACATTCATTAGGTGATCTGTCCAAAAGGTGAGGTGGGATTTATTTCAGTCAAATGAGCTGCTTTGGGAGTGAAGCGGAATTAACCTTCTAACTAAAAGGCAGTTTGTTATTCCATAAATCTAAAAAGTGACTTTTAGACATAATTACAAAGCTACATGGAAAAACATCTACTTCAGAAGTAAATGCACAATTAGTATTCATTATTAAACATGTCCAAATTACATTATATCATTGAGGTTACATGGAAATCAAAGTGAAGAAATATATTTATTCTTCTCATTGAAAGCAGTAATAATTAGAGGTAAATTTGCTCCCAAATCATTAATTCATGAGACTCTTGCTGATATATAAATTTCTTCATTAAGACGTTATTAAATTTGCATCTTTAAGATTTTACATGTAATTAAAATTAAATTTGAAGAATATATATTTGTAACAGTAGCTGGTAGATGTGTGTCCCACCTTTACCACAAAATTTGTTGAGAAAGTTATAGTTTTACTGCTTGAATCAAACAGCAAAGCTTGAGAACAAAACTAAAACTAAGTTGTTTATCAGTTCACATTATTTAAAAATGCTGTATTACAAAAAAGGCTATGAAATGGCTGTTAGTTTCCGAAGGATGGAATATTGACTATTGACTTAGAAACTGTACAAAAATCAATATTACAATGCTGAAATGCACTTCTGTTCAATATTGCACTCATTTATAGGAATTTACCTAGCAATTTTAGCCACTTTTTATGTCTACTACTATGAAATTAAAATATAAAAGGCAGTTATTTTTTTTTCCTGGTGAATGTTTCTAGCCAATCTTCAAGTTCAGTGCTTCCAGTTTAGTATGAAATTGCTTTTCCAAATTTACAAAAGTCTGCAGGAAGTTCCGGAGACAGTACATTTAATGTACTGTATAGCGTCTCTTGAGCTGCTTTCCATCTTTGTTGGAAATGACAGAATAGATCCAGAATGGATTTTAATAGAAGTTGTTTACCTGGAAACTTCTAGCTATTTCTGAATAACAGTGTAAATAAGATATTCTTTTTTTCCCCTAATGTACCTGCATTACATTAGTATGTTTTAAATTAGAAATGCACTTTAACGTGTTTATACATGGTAAGAAGTTCTTTAGATTTTGCTTTTCAGATTGTTTTTCTCTTTGTTACAGGTTTTATTTAAGCTTCTCCTGGGCAGTGCTAAATATGGAGAAGCTGCCTTATTTTTGTCAGTGTTAGCTATTTTCAATATCCTTTTTGTTACCTGTATTCCTGTCATCCTTTACTTTACCAAAGTTGAATACTGGAGTTCTTTTGATGCCATTCCTTGGGGAAGCATTTGTGGATTTTCAGTCCTATTATTGAGTAAGTAAATGTTGCTTAGTTATAATAATGGCATCCATGTAAACAATTATGTTGGATAGTTTAAGAAAAAGAAAGACTGCACATCATGCTTAAAGCCTACTTAATCAATCTAATTTAATCTAATTCTATGCAATCTATTTTTTTTGTTTAAAATGATGCCACTATTCCTAACATGGTTTCTCATGTTACCCAACAGCTATTGAGAAGTATATTGCTTCCAAAACCTAGTGTAATGTATAGCCATCATATCTCATAATCATTGTAATTTTATCCTCCATAATTTGATTAACATGATGGTTCAGAACTGATATTTAAAAAAACTACTGGCAAGTGTTTTATCTAAAAGAAAAGTAAGAGGTTAACCTGTCATACTGATAGTAATTTGGTGAGTAAAATATATAATAATGAGTGCAATATCTTGCATTAATAACTATTACGGTATATCCTTTTAGGTGTGCATTTAATAGATTATTTGACATTTAATAGATTGTTAATATAGATTGTTAGACCTTAGCCTGACAGGTTGTCACATAGAAGAAAGTCGGGACCTCTCCTCATTTGTCCCCAGAAAGTAGGACTGGGTCACGGCGGATGCTGAGTCAAAAGACCATTGAAAGGTCGACAGCTCAGCAGTTTGAAACCGAAGGGCAAGCCACGTGATAGAATGAGCTCCCATCAATTTGCACAAGCTCCTGCTCACCTAGTAGTTTGAAAGGATGCGAATGCAAGAAAATAAATAGGTACCACTTTGGTGGGAAAATAACATAGACATGAAAGGAGCCCCCTTGGGCTTCCCCTGGGCAATGGTGATGTCACTGACTAATACTTTCAAGCACCTTGGTATGTGCTTCGGACACGAATGTAGTAGTAGGACATGGAATGGACAACTTGCAAGAAAGAAGATTCTTACTGAATGCTTGAAAAAAAATTCCTAATAGTAACAATGGTTTGACAGTGGAAGAAATAATCACAACACCTTGTTGGCTACCTTCCACTGGACAGGCTGAAACTGATATTTGTCAGAATTTTTTAATGTGAATTCTTACATTGAGCAGGGGGTTAGTGTTATCATAGAAGACCTCTTTCAGCTCTAGGAATATTTAATTCTAATATCACTTATTAGAGAACTTTGATTCCCATCAGCCATGTGCTCTGGTGCAATGACTTACACAGAAACTTTCAATGACAACATAATGGTCTTCATAATGTATCGGTAAGCAAGATGAAAGTAATTCTCTTCTAAAATTATCTATGTTAGTGGCCTTTCAAATTTAAACTCCCGTCATTTAATCTTTATGAATACTGCTTATGTAAAACTATCATGTAATTCCTCAATATTTTTCTATTTATATAAAAGAATAAGTGCAGCGACAAGGTAAGTATGCATTATGGGTACATCATAAAATAGACAAATTAGTCAATTAAAGACCATTTTCACCATAAATACATGCATTTGAATGCTTTCTGAAGTAAATTTAATTTGGGAAGGCAGAATGTGCGGGTCTGAATAAAATAAGTAAGAGCAATCCTGCAGTACATATCTGGCATGTGATACACACAGTAGTTTCAGAACTCCTGTATTTTGATCTTTATGTGCAAAGGTTCATATCAATCTAAAGGTGGCTGCTAAAAATAAACTGGTTAAATCTGTTAAAAAAAAAAAGCAGACTTAGTACCAAAATAAAAGTAATTCTAAAATGAAAAATGTTATTTCTTATTTCAGCATTCAATATTATATTAAATTTTGGGATTGCTATTACATATCCTACCTTGATATCTCTCGGGATTGTACTAAGTGTACCTGTAAATGCTAGTAAGTATACTTTTTCATTAACAAATGACATATAAATCAGGATGTACATGTTTTATATGTAAAGTAGAATACATTGTATTTAAATAACCAGAGTTTATTTTAGCAAATGCTTACTCCTTTTAATTTCATAGCATTAGCCTTTCATGGCATTAACCATTACACTAAATATTTAATTTGTCAAACATATTTGTTTCAAGATTTGCAGTTTTTCTCTCGATACGGTATTGAATTTTAGAGCATCACCCATTTGTTTCAGAGGACAAACAACAGGAAAATCCGTTAATGGGTTGTTCTCATGTGGAGTTTGGAAAGTGATGATTTGAAGTAGTAATTTCCTACTTCATAATGTCAAAATATTCATGTTCTGTTTATGAATCAAATGTTAGTAAAAGAATTTATCTTCTTTTCCTTTAGTGTGTATCTGGCCAGTTCCTATTGGGTGATTCTAGTTGCAAAATTCTTCCCCTGGTGACATCTAGGTGTGCTGCTGGACAGTTGTGTTACACAAAGCTCCCTAGGAAGCTGCCTACATCATGACAACCACCTCCATTGTGGCAATTTTCGGACGCACAAATTAGATTTTATTCAAGTCCATATACTTTTGTGTGCTCTTGCATAGCGCTTGATCTCATTCAAAATGTGTGTTTGATAATCTTAAGAGCATTTTAAAGAACATTAGAACATTACTCTAAAAATAATTAGCACTCTGCATAGAAATCAATTTGTTTGGAAAGGTCACGTTTCTAAAGTATGGATTTCCTGCTGCTATTACCAAGGAAGACACATACTTGTTAATTTTTTTAAAAAAATTGCTCAGTCTATAGACTACTAGTCACTCGATTGCTCAATTTTGCATCTTAAATGTTGTTGGCAACAGTTGTAATAATGGCATGATTACCAGTCACATCCACTAGCAGTTTCCAGAAGCTGCCAGATAATGAATTAGATTGGGAGTTATGGCAAGTTCCTACTCAGAGATCCTACTTGGTTATGAAAAGCAAGATCACAACAAAAATCAGTCCCCACCAATGTCCCTCTTTTATATAGCAGAAGAGTTGGTGGACAACCATCTTAGAGCAATGATAAATCTTATCTGTAAGCTGCCCAGGCCCATCTTATAAGGGGAAATGGGCGGCATAAAAAAAATTAACGAATGGGAAAAAATATTTTTGACAATCTTCAAAACATTATTTGCCATTATCTGCAAAATAAAGACACTTTGATGCAAGATGAAGCTAGCCCAGAACTAGCTTCACCTGGCAACTATCATGGACCATTCAAAGAGAAGTCAAAAACCTCAAGTGAGTTGATAAAATGCCCAATTCCACTAGTAGTGTTCAGTTTTATATGACTTGGCTACATTTGTGGGCTCTTGGGTTTGTGAGAATGAAATCCAAATCTTTTGCTATTGTACATGTTATTACCTAGACATGTTTTATTCTATCTATAATGTTATCTGTTCAATATTTTATGCAGTTGTTGATCACTACTCGAGTGATATTGTCTTCAACAGTGTCCGTGTAATTGCCATTGTCATAATTGGCTTGGGCTTCCTCCTGCTGCTTCTACCAGAGGAGTGGGATGAGTGGTTAATAAAACTCCTTACCCGCCTCAAAGTACGAAAGAAGGAAGAAATTCCAGAGGGAAATGGAGACATTGTTTCAGGATTGCAGAATAAAAGTAGAAGAACGCGCCCCTCCATGTCATCTTTCACACATTAATATTATTTTATGAACATTCCTTAATATTGTATACTTTAAACCATAGCTTTTTCCTTGCAAAGCACATATGTTCAATACAGTAAATATACACAGATGTACAGTTTTGATACTAATAGAGTCCAAGTTTCAGCATCACTAAATTGCTTGCACTGTTTCACATTCAACCTTTCACTTGGGAGAACCTCTCTAAAACATGAAACTCTTTTTAAATGAATGTAATGTCTAATGATCTTTGCATATATGATTTTATCGATAAACCATGAGACGGAGGGCATACATTTTGAACATTATGTACTGAATAATACATTGCGCACTGTGATTTATGCGTGTGTGCATGCACACACACAAACATATATATATAAATATAAATATACAAACACATATATAATGAGAAACAAGTATTATGCTTATGTCATAAGCTTATTTTTTATGAGAGCTGCACATGAAACATTTGCAAATAAACCAAAATAAGCTATTTTGGGGGGAAGAAGGGGTGGGAGGGTGGGAGAGTGTTTTGTGAAGATAAGTGCACTTTGTGCCAGATTAAAAGAAAGTAAAAATGTTAGGTTTGCACTAAAGCATATGGGAGAAACTATCAAGAGTACTGAAGTACCAGGGATTACTCTTGAAAACCCCACTAACATGAATGGAAATAGTTGAAGAGTACTTTGTACGGTGTGTTATTTTTGCACACATACACTGTCTGCCTCAGGGGAGCTTGTGCAAAGAAAGTTCTCAGGGGGAACAAATTTAAGTGTGCATGATTGCAGTTTGTGCTTAATATCATGCAAAGGAAAATACAGTGCCTTCTACAGAATTCTAGTCCATTGTCTGTATAGAAATAGGAAACTCTGCAAGTTGCTTGTATTGATTTTTCAACATGAAGAATGTGTTCCATAGACAGAGTGCTTTTGAAATTCACAAAGAAATCAAGGAGTGCCTACTTCAAGCTGCTGATTACTAGGACTGCAAACCATTTGAGGACTACTATATCTTCTGTTGCGGCCAGATTTACTTCCCACTTGCACAGATCTGGAGATGCTCCTGACCTGTATTTCTGTGAAGAGAGAATCAAGCCGTATATCTAAGAACCATGCTTAAAAACTAACAACAAAGCTTGCAGCTGCTTGGAAAAATAATGTGTACAATATTTGAAAATATAAGTGAATTGCATTTGCTTTTATTCATTGCTATTTTTTTAAGGATATCAAGATACATACATCAATCCTAACACTTTTTACAAAACTTGTAAGCACCAAGCTGTTTACTTGTACAATTTGATTTGCCATTGGATTTCTATCTGTGATAGATGATGTGGTATGTGCAAAGAAATAGGCAATGGTGATAGTTTACTCTTTTTGAAGTTTACATTGCTGCATTCAAAATGGAAAACATTATTTTTTAAATGTTGCCATAACCCAATAGTGGGTGTTGTCTCCTTGGCATTTTTGGGTCAAATGGAGGTGGCACTCACTTCTAAACTTTTTACTGAATCAGTTTCAGATTCAATTATCTGCTTGACAAAACGAATAAAAACTACTACAACTTCATATCAAGTCAATGGCTTATGCTTGCATTTCTGTTTTATAGTGAGTTACATTAGTTTTGCTAAAAAAAATTGCATAAAAATGTGTAATAAAAAGTGGAAAAACAAGTACTAAGACTGTCAAAGGTTTTCTCTGGGTTATAGTGATTTTTTTCTTATCTTGCTTAAAGCAATATTTTAAATATAGTTTTTGGTTTTTAAAAAAGTTGTGTTAGCACTGGAGATTAGCACATCTTTGTCTAGTGATTTTGACAAAAATCTCAAAGCAATTTGATGCCATTGCAGCTAAGTGTCATCTACCTCAAACGTTTCTATGCTTGGAATTTTCTTATGGTTACTTTCCCATTAATAGTATCAAATACTTTATTATCCCTGCTTGGATCAGAATATGAGGAATCCCTGTACACTTGAAATTTGTTTCCTTTATCAGCACCTGTAAGGACAAAAAATAAATGCAAATTATTGGGAATCAAACTTTTCCTTTAAATGAAAAATCCTGGAGAATGTAGCTATATACAGATCAATTTACATATTAAATCTTGAATAATATCAGATTTGGTGAGGAGAAAAAAATTGCAGAGTATGTTTCATTCAAGATTCCTGATTGAGAAAAATAAAGTGATATGTGATTTTAAAGTAAAAATATCATTATTGTATATGGAAGTCATTAATTATTATTAAAAGATCAACTTTTAGAGGAATATAATTTGGATAATTCAAGTACAGATTTTACTTGCTCTGGGAAATTGATGAAATTCATTCTTTACCAATCTTACAAGTCATTTATATAATAACATATAAATCACTGTACAACTTTTTTTTTCATTTTTAGTCATTAATTTTAGGGTTTTAGAATCAAGGATATATTAAGGATTTTATATACCGAGCACAATTGAGCCAAAATTAAATATTTAACATCCCATTGATTCTATTGGAAGAAAGTTAGACATTTATCTATTTGTTAAATTTATAAATATTTTAGAAACTTTTCCTCATTGTAATAGAACAGAATGGTGGTAGTATCATTAAAAGGTTTTGTACAACCATATATTCCAGGAACAAGAATGATTAAAGATATGAGGTCATATTTTTATGATCTATCTACAGATCTAACTTCATCTATGGCAAAATGACAGCAAATAATGGTACTGTAAGGGATGTCTTAGGTAATCTAGTCCAAGCCATTGTTATTACAGGATTCTCAATGCAGAGTACAAATAGCATGCTTAAGAAATGGTCAAATCTTAAATATTTCCAGTAAAACAAAATCTACAATTGTCTCTTGTCCAAGGCAGTTTCTTCCAGTAGAACAGGTCTCTTTGTAAACGCATTTCTTCTGTTTTAGCCAAAATAAGCTTTTATAATTTTTATATATTAGTTCTAATTTTCATATATTAGTTCTAGATCAGCCAACTTCTTTACCTTGAATAAAAAAGACCTAGTCGCTACATTATTGACTGGAGCAGATGTTCCTCAGATCTCCCTCCTTTCCATATACATGGTCTCAAACAAAACATCTTTCCCATCATCCACTACACGATCTTTTAGCTGATAATGCCAGAGTGAACACAGGTCATCTAAATGCAAAGCTTGCACCCAATTGTTTAGCTACAATCCATTTGCAGAAAGAGAAAACACAATACTAAGTATCTTTGAGATCACAAAAGCTGAAACTTGCAATAGACTGCAATAGACTGCAATAGAGTTTCCAGGGTGCCGAAGAACTATAACATTCAGTAATGCCTTTGGATTATTCTTATGTGCACAAATGAGCCACATCATCAGAAATATTCAACAATATTTAACCAAAAAACAACAACACATGAAGAGGACAGTTTCTTCTCACACACTACACCAGTAAATACTTGTTCAGTCCAGGTGATTTAGAAGCTGGGGAGATGGCGTACTTAAAAAACCCAAAATGCTAAGAGTGGAAGCAATAAATCTGAGATTCAAATTCTCACTTACCAATGAGGCTTACTGAATGACTTGGGACCAGTGATATACTGCTTTCATCCAGTCTATACCCAGAGATATGTCTGGGTTCTAAATGAAGATAAAATGAGGGGGAATTTGATTTGTGTTGTGTTGAAGACTGGATTCTTAAGGTTCAGAGGAAGGTATAAATGTAATAATAAAATGTAATAATATGGTCAGCTGAATAAAAAATGTTCTCAATGTTTTAGCTCAACACATGACACCTCATCATAATTCATATAACTCAGCATAAAAATCAGGACTTTGAAGAATAAGCAGTTTGCAGTATAACTATATGTATCATACAATAAAGGAAAATTTATCAAAATGATTAGGCAGATCAACAATAGTACCATCAACACAATGAAAGTAGTAATAATAATGTCATCAAAATAACCGACAACGTATCTTCAGGCACATAGATTCATCTCTACTCAAGTACATTTTTCTTGTTTATATCTTTAGCAGGTATTATTTATTTCGCTTTTGTATGTTTGTTTTTTGGTTTATATCAAGTTGCCCAAAATCGCGTTGAGCGACGATATAAATCTTAATAAGCTTGTAAAAAAAATAAAGCTTTAAATTTTAAGAAGCAAAATTTAAAAAACACTCCAATGTCCTTGACAAACCAAATAACATTTCTAACTTTCCAACTGCAACCTTGACAATTTTAAGGCATGTGGACTTCAACTCCCAGAATTCCACAGCCAGCATTGCTGGCTGTGGAATTCTGGGAGTTGAAGTCCACATGCCTTAAAATTGTCAAGGTTGAGAAACACTGGGCTAGCATCTCCCTTCTCTTGATATTACTTTCTGCCTTCCCCGCCTTGCACAAAAAGGGGTTGGGAGGGGGGGAGGCTGGCAATGTCCTCGCGAAAGATCGCTCAGGCAAAATGCGCATGCGTACCAGGTAACCCCGCACGCTCCTTTCTCTTCCTCCTTAGGCTCTTTGCATGTCGGTTGAACGAGTAACATATCCACTTCCGGTTGACAGCGACGAACATCCGGGGGAATGCAGCTGCTCCGGAAGTGCGCCAGGTAAGTATCAACAGGACCTGCGAAGGAGATCGTTGAAAAAGCGAGCAGGCTTGCAGCCCCCTTGCAGCCCCCTTTGTACGTGAACGTAAATTGCATTGGCGCTCGTTCTCTTTCGAGTGCGAAGTCGAGAAGGCTTCGAGGAGGCTTTACTTTTTGTGCAGCCTCCGGGTCGTTCTCTCTTGAACTCTGTGCAGGGGACGTGCACATTTTTTTTTTGCCACGGCCAGCTTCGTGGAGGAGAGGGGGGGGGGAAGCATATTCCCACTATTTGGCTGCTTTTGCTGATAGTGGCGAAGGAGCTGTTTGTAACCGGCTCCACGTTCCGGTGCAGCCACAAGTGGTAAGTAGCTGGCGCTTCGAAATCCTTCACTGGACGTTCCCCTTCCTCTCTTCCTTGCAGATAGATCGCGTTTCCAGGAAAACAGAAACAGAGAGCCAAGAAAAGCAGCTCTTCGAGTACAGAAGAGTGCCAAAATCGAGGGGTTTGTGTGTGTGTGTGTGTGTGTGTGTGTGTGCGCGCGCGCGCGCGTGTGTGCAGTGATTACTGCTGTTATTTTCGGTTCATTGAACCACTGCACGCAAGTTTGGCTCCAGAATTAATAACTAAAAAGCGTATTTTAAAACTAATCGCAATGATCTAACTCAAGTGTTTCTCAACCTTGACAATTTTAAGGCATGTGGACTTCAACTCCCAGAATTCCACAGCCAGCATTGCTGGCTGTGGAATTCTGNTTATTTAATTTAATTTATATGCCGCCCTTCTCCCGACAGGGACTCAGGGCGGCGCACAACATATTTAAAACCAGAACATATATACAATCCCCCCCTTAAAACCGAATTAAACCGAATTTTAATGTTGCGTCTTCCGAATATTTAAAACCCAATGTAAAATCCACCCTAGGTCAGGTCCGCTTGCTGGAAGAGCCATGCCTTAAAATTGTCAAGGTTGAGAAACACTGATCTAACTCAAACTGGACAAGGCAATGGAATAGCTCGAGACTCAAACCCAACTTCTGTGGTAAATGTGAAACTCACCTAGAGACAATGTGAAATACTAAAAATGATTAAGGGCTCAGGTGACTCATATCTGGGATGGATTGATGGCATTTGAAATAGCAATACTCCTTCATTGCTGTGCTTTTAATATATCAGAGGTGTACAAGGTGGTATTCTAGGTACTTTAGACCACAATGCCCGTATGCACCCCAAGGATGCTTTGGGCCCTTTTCTGTTGAAATGCATGTGCAAAAGATATACTGTTTTCAAATGGGCTTGTATCAATTTTTAAAATTCTGTTAATAGCTGCATTTAGACAAAAGACTTATAATGGCATTAGGTTAACTTTTCCTGTTCATTTGTGAACACATCTTCTTTATCAAATAACATTTAAATGCTGCCCCATTGATACCTATTCAGAAGTCCAATTGAATTCAGTTCCTAAACAAGTATATGAGTGACACCCTCAGGTTTTTTTCTCACAAGAGAGTTATGCATTTACTTTTTCATAGTTTAATCTCTTTATATGGAGAAACACATCTTTGTTCCTGTCAATACGACTGTCATAATTACATGGTTGCCTTAAGGATTGAAACATCTGAAAGATTCTCATTATTTTCATGTATACTTGGAGTATAGTGCGTGATAGTGATCCAGTGAATTACAAAAGACAGATTAGGAAAGATGAGGTGTAATGTGTACATTCGCCGTATTGTCTTTTTTTACCCATGTATGAAATGACCACCTAATGTCATATGCTTATTCATGCATCATTTCTTTAAGGTCACTGTTATTTAGCCTTATACTAACCTATAGATTTTGATGTTTAGTAATTAATCAGAACCAAACTTGGGAGGCTGAAGTTCAAAACTGGCCAATTACTACCATAGTGTCGTGGGACGTAGATGACCAGGCTGAACCAGAAGGAGGGGTCAAACACGTCATCAGTCCTTTTGTGCCCACAAGAGATCTATGTCCAGCCCACCTTGAATTCCTTATCTACTGCCAAATTACTTTGACAGTTAGTAGTTCAGATTCTTGTAGAGAGAGCTTAAGCTTGCAATAAATTTTAATACCCATTTGAACTGCCTGGATCTCNACGTAGATGACCAGGCTGAACCAGAAGGAGGGGTCAAACACGTCATCAGTCCTTTTGTGCCCACAAGAGATCTATGTCCAGCCCACCTTGAATTCCTTATCTACTGCCAAATTACTTTGACAGTTAGTAGTTCAGATTCTTGTAGAGAGAGCTTAAGCTTGCAATAAATTTTAATACCCATTTGAACTGCCTGGATCTCCTGATTTCCCTGGCGCTTGACAGTTAAGAAAATAAAAGGGACCAAGGCTAGGCTCTTTTGCTCCTTGAAGAAAAGATGGGATAAAAATGTGATTAATACCAGGTTAGCTTTATAATAAACTTTTTTCCACCTTTGGCTGAAAACCTTTGGATATTCAGATGTAAGTAAACTACAAGAACACCTTGACTTCCAGTAGACCTTTATAAATTCAGGTGCATATTTGAAATAAGCACACCTAGAAGAATTGAAGAAGACTGGTTTCCAAGGTTTTTGTAGGATGGTAAGTCAGAGAATTAAAAAATATACTTTAAGAATTATTTCATCTTTATTCCTTTTTTTAGGAGTTTCAGAAATGTCAGCCCCATCCATGAAAGAAAGAAAAGCCTGCTGGGGTGCCCGAGATATTTATTGGAAATGCTTAGATGAAAATATGAAAGATATATCAAAATGTGACAAATTGAGGTGCTCTTTTGAAAATTCGTGCCCACAGCAATGGGTAAGTAATTATTTTTATTCATTTTTATACATACATACCTAACATGATATTCCTTTTGGGATATGCAAAAGATAAGAAATAAGAAATAGGGAACAAAAGAAATTGGAAGTCAAGAGATACAGAAAAAGTCATTCAAAGTAAACTGAAATTACACCATCACTATTCATTGTCTCCCCTCATTCTTTTCTGTCCTTGCAAACCATCCTTACTCCCACATCTGTACACCTCTATCTGAATTCTTTCCAGACACATTAATAAATGAGCATTTGCAGTCATTCTTGATCTCTTGGCCTTTGTACAAGAGAAATATAATGGCAGTGTTCTGATCGTTAGGCAGGTTAAATGTTGTGCAGCACCTCCATAAGGAAACCATGTATTTTAACATTTCCCCAGCTACAATACTTACCCACCCCCCAGCCTTACCATTTTTTCAGCATTCTCATAGCACTAATAAATCCTTTCACCCATTTTTCTTGAATTCTTATATACATTCATTTCAGTTTTGCTCTTAAACATGCTTTCATTTAATACAAATCTCCAAAAGTACCCATTTTAACATTCACCCACTTCAGTTTAATTTGAAATCACTTCATTACTTTTATTGTTTCCATTTGCTCTTCTAGAAGTTCCTTTTTTCTAGCCCTTTTCATCCACTCCCGAAATAGCTCCAATTTCTCTTTGCATTGTTTATTCTTGATCATTCAAAACAAAGCCTTTTGGGTTACATTATTTGCAACTATTTTTTTCTCAGTATATATAGATGGTATGTCTTGTTCTGTCCTCATTTTTGCAGCATTTTTATATGCATATTTCAGTTCTTCATTCCACTAACCATCCTTTTCCATGCTTTCTATAACTCCATACATCTCTGTGGTACTTCATGATAAAATTCTTTTCTATCAGTAATAGGAAACTTATATATCAGTGGTGGCGAACCTATGGCACGGGTGCCAGAGGTGGCACTCAGAGCCCTCTCTGTGGGCACGTGCGCCATCGCCCAGTCCTAGGCCTTCAGCTGGGTTTTATAAAACCTTTTCGCTTTAGGCCTCCACCGCCGTGTACAAAAAAAAAAGGTTCAATCAGTCAATTTCAACTTCTCGTGGGAAAAAAAAAGATCTTGCAAAGTTGGAATTGATTGAACTTTTTAGTCCCACCCAGTCTGCTGTTACCACCACAGCCACCTCACCCAATGGGCCACACCCACCTAATGGGCCACACACACCCGGCACCCGATGATGCATAAGTGGGTTTTGGGTTGCAGTTTGGGCACTTGGTCTCTAAAAGGTTCGCCATCACTGTTATATATAATCTTTTCTCACGTTTACTTTCCATTCAATCTATTGGGAGGTTAATCTATCACATGAATATAAACATTGAATTGGATGAAGTGGGAACAGAATGTATTCTTCTTGTCTATATAAATTGCAGTGCTGTAGTAGCAGTTGTAATGCAAACAGTGAAAATCACATTAACAACACAGTGCTGGAAGAGTAGAAATGTGCACAATTTGCATCTGAAGTGGTCTATACCTATCAGCAACATAGAAGTTGCATCCTTTTCCTGGGCTTGAGTGTTGCCCAGAAAATATGACTAGTATTGCCTCCTGTTTCCACCTCTGTAATGGACATAAACAAGGATTTTCCTAGTGTCTCAAAAAGAGAATTTGCAGTATAGAGATCCTGAAGCTGCGGTTTCACATATACAGTGAATACAGTGAAGGGTTCTTTAATCATGTTTGTTGGCATATGCTTAAGTAGGATTTTGCGAACATTCTTTGTTTATTTTGCTCCTGGCGGATGGCCTTTTATGCATTGGTGAAGTATATAGTTTTTCAATAATTATTCAAAATTACAATTGCAGTGAAAACTAAAAATAGAATGCAGAAAATGCAGAAAATAGAAAAGAATGAAATAATAATATAGTAAATAAAAGATTCTTCCCATATCCCATCTCTTATCTATAAAAAAATCCTTAAAAGCCTTTGTCATTTCACGTCAGCAGAAGTCCATTAAGGAATATCTTAAATAACTTATCTTTTTTTTTAACCTAAGTCAAATAAGCCATGTTTTTATTCCTTTTTCTTTTAACAAGCTTGATCTTTAGTCCCTTAAATTAAAATCCTAGCACTGCACTGGCTGCTTCTCACAAAATTCTTCAAGGTATTAACAGGCCTCTTTTGTACCAATACATGAAAATTATCCAGGACAGTCTCTTGATTTGTTATTTGTACAGCCTTTGAATTATTAAGACATCAGCTAATTTCTTTTGTACGTTCAGTGTAGCATCTTTTTCGATACCATTTTTGTAAGTCTATTATTTTTAACTCCACTTTCAGATTAGCCTCAGTCTTGACAGGTGAAATTTGTTCCTCTTCCATAACATCTTTTAAACATTGTCTTTAGATATAGACACTCCTAAAAGTAACTTTTGGGTTTTTATTCAAAAATGTCCTTCAGTTTGGCCAATATTAAAATACTTTGCTTCATCCTGCATGTGTAAATCAAATTTAAGTGTTCTTCTCCTGTATGTGTAATCTTTAGTTCCCTTTAGTTCTACCTAGTGTCCAGACTTCAATTTCCCATCCTATCATGCTTTTTTTAAAAAAAGAATTAAAAGCATTTCCTCATGGGAAAGCTTCTTATAATTAATTCAAAATCTTATTTCTAAACCATCTACCTGTATTCTGGAATAGAACCACCTGTAGTTTGTAGCCAATGAATAAGTCATTGCTTAAGCTAACTACTTTCTACATAGTTACAAGAATTTTGCAAACCTTGCTTTGCAACACTAGGAGCACCATAGCAAGTACCTTTCTTTGAAACATTCAAAGAAACATTGAAGCAGCAATGTCTTTTCCTGGATTACAGAGCTGTTCGCTCCATAAGCTTCTTCTAGCTCAGTGGTTCTCAACCTTTTTAATGCCGCGACCCCCAACTGGTCGTAAGTCGAGGACTAAACCGGTCGTAAGTCGAGGACTACCCAACCGGTCGTAAGTCGAGGACTTTCCCTGCCCGGGAGTGCCGCGCATGCGTGGTTCCGCCCCCTGCGCCGGCCGAGGTGTAGCTGGCAAGCGGCAGAGACGGAGCAGGCTGACCACCAGCTGGCCCAGCCCAAGGGAGGTAAGGCACCCGCCGGAAAAGGGGAAAAAAATGGCGGAACAAAAAAAATGGCGGACAGCCTTGCTTGGCGACCCCCGTGAAATGGTCAATCGACCCCAAATGGGGTCGCGACCCATAGGTTGAGAACCGCTGTTCTAGCTACTTCAGTGTGTATGTACATGCACAGTGAGGTGGCTTTGTTATTTTTCCCAGTCCTTTATATGTAACAAGGGAAAGAAGTATTATTTTAAAAAAAAAATCAGATGTGGATACAATTTATTGAACACTAGGTTTTGAAGACAGATCGATAATAGTGGCATTAAATTAAATCTAAAATATCATGATGGGTACAATATGTTTTCTACTTTTATTACTTTAGACTTTTACTGAACTGCTTGACTTGCTAACCAAGTGATCTTATTTAAAACAGGTTAAATATTTTAACAAAAGAAGAGATTATTTACAATATAAAGCACAAATGGAATCAGAACAATTTCTGCCTTCAGAGAAAACAGAGAAGTCATAGCAACTAGAGAACTTTTACAATACTGGACACAAGGGAAGTTGCAGAAAAACAGCATAATTGCAGAACATAAATGCTGGCACCAACGATGTCCCATAAATTTTAAGACCGGTTTTTGTTTATAAATCTCATACTGGCCTGAAAGCTCCAGCTTCCATTATTTGAAATGCTTATTGGAGAGAAGAGGCACTTAGGAAAATATGCTTACCTTTCAACACTAAAAAAACTACACCATCAATAAAATCAAAATAAATGAACTGTATAAATTCAAATACTTGTATCATGTTTTCATTGCAAATACCCTCTTCCAGATGTTTTCCCCAATGTAACAGAATGTCTAATACATTTCGGTGGTCCTTTGTCTATTACATCTTGAAGAATATAATTATCAACAGTAACACCCTTAAATATTTCATTTTGGTAGATTCAGATATATGGGAGATCACTTTGTTTAATATGTTGAATTAAAATTTAATTTGTAGATTATATATTCAATTTTTAGAAACTGAAACTGATCAACTTTATTAGGAAAACACCAATAAATACTTGAGTATATGTTTAAAAAAAATCCCCAAAACCAATGCCAGAAAACTCTGTGGTCATCACCAAGTGCAAAGACACCAGAACTGTCAAATGGCAAGTTGCTACATTGCTGTGTGCAGTATATTCTTGATGATGTCCATTTTTGATTTGTTAGTGACCACATAGATTTTCTCCATAATGAAAAAAGTTAATGGAATAAATTTATAGTTATATGGACCACCAACAGCACAGAGCTTGCTCTATTAGTTTTTTGACAGCTCTGTAGTTGCAGAAATTACACACAGCAAAAGCGGCCATTGTGCTGCAAATGAATAATTATTTATCACCACTTTCAGAACTATCAAGAGGTAGTGTTAACAACAATGTAATCAGAATCACTAGCACCAAAAACTGCATTAAAAACAATTTTAATACTGTCATGATTTAAAAAATTAACAGCTTTTTTATAAAAATGAAGGCATACAAAATCTAACACATAATTAAATGGTAACTATAATAATTTCAGGGAATTTATAGCACCATCAAATTATTGGCTTCAACAAAAATTAAACATTTTGTCTTTATTCTTTTTCCTTCATCATCTGCTGTCTTGTATATTCCCAAATAAGCAGAGCACCACTTACATGGACATTAAGTGAACGAATAACTCCTTGCTGTGGAATTTCTACACAAGTGTCCAAGTGCTGAATTACATTTGCTGGGATTCCCTCATGTTCATTTCTGATTTAAAAAAAGAAAAAAAATGGATTAGCAGAACACTGCTCAATGGCAGAACACAGGCTTCACATGCAGAAAAAAATCAAGTTCAAATGCCAGTATTTCTAAAATATCTGCTTTGAATATTAAATTGCTGATAATACTGAGCTAGAAAGATCAATAACCTGATTTATATATTTTCATTTTCACCCTCCTACTCCAAAATACTATTGGACTTTTTATTGGAGGTCCAGGCCACGGACAAAATCTGAAATCTTTGCAGTTTCTACTGTAGATGTTCTTATTGTTAAAGAGATAAAAATCAGTAAATACTAACAATAAAGCAGGCAGTCTTATGCACTTTAGTATGGATTGCAATTACTATAGCGATTTGTGAACTGTCACTGAGAATAATGTTGTGATTTGGACTCTCAACTTTTTTTTAGAATTTGTACTAGTTACAATCAAGTATTCACCAAATATTAAATAATAATAATAATAATAATAATAATAATAATAATAATAATAATAATAATAAGTTGGAAGGGACCTTGGAGGTCATCTAGTCCAACCCCCTGCTCAGGCAGGAAACCCTATACCATTTCAGACAATGTCTGTCCAGTCTCTTCTTAAAAACTTCCAGTGTTGGAGCATTCACCGCTTCTGGAGGCAGGTTGTTCCACTGGTTAATTGTTCTAACTGTCAGGAAGTTTCTCCTTAGTTCTAGGTTGCTTCTCTCCTTGATTAGTTTCCATCTGTTGCTTCTTGTCCTGCCTTCAGGCGCTTTGGAGAATAGCTTGACTCCCTCTTTTTTGTGGCAACCCGAGATATTGGAACACTGCTATCATGTCCCCCCTCGTCCTTCTCTTCATTAAACTAGACATACCCAATTCCAGCAACCGTTCCTTATATGTTTTAGCCTCCAGTCCCCTAATCATCTTTGTTGCTCTTCTCTGTACTCTTTCTAGAGTCTCAACATCTTTTTTACATTGTGGAGACCAAAACTGGATGCAGTATTCCAAGTGTGGCCTTACCAAGGCATTGTAAAGTGGTATTAATACTTCACGTGATCTTGATTCTATCCGTCTGTTAATGCAGCCTAGCACTGTGTTGGCTTTTTTGGCAGCTGCAGCACACTGCTGGCTCATATTTAGGTGATTGTCCACTAGGACTCCGAGGTCCCTCTCACAGTTACTACTATTGAGCAAGGTACCCCCTATACTATACCTGTACATTTGGTTTTTCTTGCCTAAGAAAAGTGGTGAAAAAGTGGCCCTTTCTGGAAGCCCTGTGCAGCCAAGAACCGAGCTACGGATTGAATTGCCGACTGGGCGAGGCAAGTGTCGATCATGGGAGGCCTGGCTGCAATGATAAGCTCCACCCCCACCCTAGCTTGATTTTTAGGCATGTGCCTCGCCCCAAAACTAGGGCTTATTTTGGGGGTATACCTTATATTAGGCCCACCCCCAAAAATCAAGCTGGGGCTTATTTTTGGGATGTTTTATTTTCGGGAAAACATGGTATCTACTGCCAGTATGTGGCTGCCTAACAGATAAATCATATAATGTAGCTGTCTAAGGGAAAGGTCTGCAGTACATAGGGAAAACTGTTTCTTTTTATTTTCTGAATGGTTTTCAGTATTCTCTACCAAAAATATGTTTGAAAAATTTATTACAATTAGATTTTTCATTACCCCAACAACAACAGGGATTTCTCTGGAAAACAATATTTCATTAAACTGCAACTTTTAGCTGTTTGCTCCACTCCTATTATAGAATAGCCTTCAGTTTTTTTCTGTTCCAAATATTCAATCAGCTGAAATGGCTTTACCTGTAAATTTTTGAAAAATGAGATTAGTATTAGGGCTTGGAAGTGTGTAATTTTCATTAGTACACTAAGCAAAATATATTATATTATTCTGACTGAATAGATCTATCCTGGCTAATACTATGTAGACCAGGGGTGTCAAACTCAATTTCATTGAGGGCCGCATCAGCATTGCAGTTGCCCTCGGGTGGGGTGGGGGGTGGGTGGCCAGGGTGGGTGCGGCTTACTGGGTGGGCGTGGATGGAGTGGGTGTGGCCTACTGGGTGGGCGTGGCCAGCTCTACATCATTCGCGTCAAGGGTGCCTGTGGGGGCCTGGGCAGGAGTGACACAGCATGCATCCAGGGGGTGGGGCCGACGTGGCAGGGGCTGGTTCCTCGCTGTTTCCAGACGGCCTTGTGGAGCTAAGACTGAGTGCATTTCAGCATAGATGGCCACCACAAACTTGTACATTGGCTCCCGACTGGCCTGGGCCAGGGCCAAGGCAGCGGGGGCCGTTCCCTCACTGTTTCCAGGATGGCTTCGCGGGCCACATGAAACCACTTCGCGGGCCGCATCCGGCCTCCGGGCCTTGTGTTTGACATGTCTGATGTAGACGGAAACCTTTTCATTTTGATTGGACTGATCAAAATGCTGCCCTAGTCCAAGAATGGCGAAGAAGTCCTTAGCTTGGTGCCATTCACAGCATTTCACCAGTAAGCTAAAGATGTTAATTTGGTATCTGATTCAGAAGAGCTGCCCATACAAGCCCCAAAGTGAGGTCACTCTTTCCTCCCCTCGTCTGCTAGAATTGACTATATATGAAAAATCCACGATTACAATTCTCCCACTGAAATCAAAAGAGAGATAATAATGCTGAAGTTGGACTGTCCCTTTAAATTCTACAGCTAATATGTAATACCATAAAATTAACGCAGATCGTTTTACAGTGTCCAACTTGAATGCAACTACATGAAAACCAGGAGACTTGCATGTCTGTGACAGAACAGGAAGGTTTCTTTTACTCACTTCAATAACAGAAAGCCATTGTTCAGCAGACACGCTGAGATGCTGAAATTGCTTGTCATTTATATAATGGAGGTTGCTAACAGTTAAAGCAGAAACACCGAATATTTCACACGTACGACACAAGCCTACAAACAAAATTAAAGCTCTTTCAATATGAAATTGATTTTCTCAATTGAATGGTGCACATAGGTAGCATGGATGGAGATTCAAACTGATGCTATAAATATGTGGTGAGAATCAGTGTGGTGTGGTGCTTAAAACACCAGGCTAGAAACTGGGAGGCCACGAGTTCTAGTCCTGCTTAGTCTGGGTGACCCTGGGCCAGTCACTTACGAAGAAGGTGGCAATAGCAAATCTTTCCAAAAGATTTGCAAAGTTTGTCTAGGCAGTTCCAGGAGTCAACTGACTTGAAGTCACAATAAATAAATAAAATAAAGATAATAACCTTTAAATCTAACTTTAAAATCAAAAAGATGCACATTGCATACGACAACTATTCCTTGAAATACTGTAACATAGGTATTAACACAATTAAGAAAACAAAAGACAGTTCTCTTTTGTGTAACAATTTGAGAATTAAAATATAAGAATGTATTTGCTCTTTTTAAATCCTCAAATTATTTTCCAGGTTAAAGTAGGTTTGTTACTTTGTAAATCTAAGACATACAGTGTAAAATAAAAGCAAAATCTGTAAGTGGTTTAAAATGAGTAAGAGCTTACCTCCTAAATTGGTGGGTTTATCAATGAGTGAAGCAACTACAATCAATTTCCTGTTTGATTTTCCAAGTTTAGTGGCACGATCTTGGAATATAAGCTCCAGATCCAAATCAGGAGCACTGGCTTTGCAAGGGATAATTTTTTTTTGAACGTTCATCCACCGTCTTTCATTATTGGGCTCAGCTAAATTCAGTCGTGAGAGAAATTACGTAATTAGCTAAATGAAATTATGCCTTTAAGAATCTCAGCATTCTAGGACTTAAGTACTTAGGACAAATATAGTCTGTGCGCACAGTAATTATGCTCTTAAATATCATAGACAAATATATTTTAGAGTCGTTATAAAATATGTATAACTATTCGACCAGCACAAATTATTTCCTAATGCTGTTTAGCTTCTATCACTATTATCATTACCGATATCTTGCTGAGTCCAGTCATTTGGCTTAAGGTCAAGAAGTGTAATTTGAGAATGGCAGGATGGAAATGTTGAACTCAATGGAATATCTCCAAATGCTGTAAATTTAGAGAGAGAGATCCATTCCTCTTCAGGAGTTTCTGAAAGGCGTGGCAGCGTGTAAAATATTGTCTAAAAAAATATTATTTTGAAGAATCAACTTCCATTTCAATGTAAAATATTTTCAGCAAAAGCCAACCAATGATGTTTGCCTTACTTCCAAATAGCTGTATATTCTATATCTATGGAAAGATCAGTTTCTGTTAAACTGATGATTAAATATGCTTGATTTCCAATTGGTTTTAAAGGCAGGTAGTTAACCTTAAGATAAAAATTTTAAAATAAGAAAATAATTACTTTTCACTTTCCACAGCTCACATTATTGCATACACAGTATAATATAAATTTCACACGAGTATAGTATTCTGCACATTGAACTTTGCTTTTTTAAATTGAATTTCTAGCTCTTATGGCTGCAGAAGATGACTTGGAAAACATAAAATATCTGATTAATGCTCTAAAGTCAAGATAGAATCTTTCAGGATTTCCATGATCTGGAAAGCAAGACTTCAGCTATAACATTTTTAATACAATATTCATTTAGTTTGAGAATGGATACGAATGAATTCATTTCTTATTTCTAAATAATGATGGCTTAGGTGGCTTTTGCTTATTGTGAAAAATAAGTATACAGATGGAACAAAGTTTTGATGTTTTTATAAAAATAACACAAATCAACCTGATTTGAAGCAGCACATAGTGGCTTATTTAGTAAAAATGTGGCATATATGATAGATGTAAACATTTACTTTTCTACTAATAATTGCTGCAGATTTTTTACACCATATAATATGGTGCTTGTTTACTTTTTGATTTTTTAAAATCCTATCTGTGTCCATTCTTTTCTTCTAGAAAGTTTAAGAAGGCTTAAACAGAATTATTCCCATTTTTTGCTCATAGCAACATTGTGAGATCAATTTAGTGTTTTTCGAACTTAGCAAGTTTAACGTATGGAGTTCAAAAATTCCCCAACCAGTATGATCGGATTTGAAATCCACACATTTTAAAGTTGCCAAATTTGAAAAACCGTGAATTAGATTAAATTAAAATAAGATTTTAATGAATTAGATTAAAATGTGTTCAATAAATAATAATAAATGAATTACGGCTCCAAGGAATCCTATCAAATCTCCTGTGCTTTTTGAGGTTATATGGTTATTTAAAGCTGTGTCTGCCTGAAATAAATTCAGAACTCTTACAACACCATCTCTTGGTAAAGCAGATGCAAAGATAGGCAGAAAAAAATATTTAAAAATTCTGAATTCTGTCCTTACCTCAAGGCAGTAATCCTTAAGTGGATGAAAATGTTCAAAGAAAAAGTGTTTCCGGATGCGCTGCCAATTCTTCTTAGCATTCCTGCAGATGATTTTTTTTTAAAAAAAGCATTAAGATGGGATGTAACAGGAAACATTCTGTGTAGACCATTCCTGTCACTGACAACTGAATTCAATGGACTTATTCAATGGACTTATTCAAAGATACTGTAAGTGACTGTGGGACTGCAGTTGAGCTCTATAAGATTTCTTATAGTATCAATTATGTGGAATAACTTGTGGTTGTTATTTACAATCCCACAATGATGTAAAATATAATTGACAGTATGTAAAGGTTTACAGTATTTAAAAATTTAGAAAACAGCACGTAGTTTGTCCCCAGTACGTACAGCAAAGAATAGGGCTGTAAAGCGGGATTGGCCTAGGGGGGGATTTTATAGGGATTTTAAAGGGATTTTATAATTTTTCTAATACAGGTTAATTAATATATATTTTAATTTGGCTTTTAAATATTTATTGTATAGCTCTGTTTTTATTTACCTGTAAGCCGCCCTGAGTCCCTCGGGAGAAGGGCGGGGTATAAATTAAAGTAATAATAATAATAATA